AGGGGTTTGCGGCTCTCCGGCACCGGCGTTTTCCGGGCCAGGGTCTTGGCAGGAGCCTTGGCCTCTGCCTTGCTCTCCTTCGCGTCCTTCCGCAGCGTCTCAGCCTTCACCTCCTTCTTCACCGCCTTCACCTCCTTCTTGGCCTCCCCTTTCACCTCAGCCCCCTCATCCTTCTTCAGCGGCTTCTTCTCCTCTTTCCGGGGAACGGGTTCCTTCTTGGGCACCGCTTTCTCCTTGCTCAGCTTCGGCTTCACATCCACCTTCAGCTTCTCCATCGAAGAGCCCAGCTTGGCCCGCGCATCCTTGGCCTTCTCCTCTTCTGACCCCGCTCTGGCGGTCTCCCCCAGGGCTTTTGGCTTCTCCTTGGTCCCTGCCTTCACCTCCTTCCTCTCCACCTTTGATGGGGCCTTCTCCTTCAGCGCCAGCGACCCGGCGTCCACCAAGCTGAGCTTGGAAGCTGACTTCAGGCTCTCCTTGCTCTCCGCCCTCTTCTGCTTCAGCGGCTTCTCGGGTTGGGGCACCGACAGCCCCTTCAAGTCATTCTTGGTGACCACGGGGTGCTTGAGGAATTCCAGGTGCTTCACCTTCTCCAACCCCTCCAGGATGCGGCCCTGGGGGGTACAGCCGGGGAAGAGGACCCGGATGATCTTCTCGGAGGGGCTGACGGGGTGCCAGACGAGCAGGGCGCAGACGGAGGTCAGGCACTGCAGGGGCAAGTCCTGCTCCTTGGGGTAGCTGTTGCCCGACCACTGCTGCAGGAGGAACTCCAGCTCCTTGGTGCCTTTCACGGGGTTCAGGACGTACATGTCCAACCGGCCCACTCCCATCTTCTGGAAGAGGACAGTGGGCTCCGCGCGGGGTCCGCTGTCCCGGGCCAGCGGGTTGGGCTGGATGCCCAGCTTCTCCAGGTAGTGCAGGGTCAGGGCAGCCTCATCGCAGCTCTTCAGCACCCGGGAGTTGCCCTCAATGTCCTTCAGCTTCTCGGAAGCGTTGAGGAAGACGACGCCCAGCTCCGGGGAGATGAGGTTCTTCGCCCAGTCTCCGTTGCCCTGCGAGCTCTGGGACGGATCCTCCTCCAGCTCGGCCAGCTTCCTCTGCAGCAGGCTGTTGACACCGGGCAAGCTGTCCGTGCCCACGTGCGTCACCAGGATGGAGTCGATGCGGTCCAGGTGCCGGACCAGCTTCCAGAAGGATGACTTGGGGTTGGAGCCTCCGTTGACCAGGACGTTGAAGCCGTTGACGGCAAAGAAAGCCGAGTCCCCTCTCCCGCCCGGGAAGATATAGCAGCAGGGCCTGGAGAGCTTGAGGAAGCCGACCATGGTGGGGGGCTCGAGGAGGTCAAAGGGGGACTGGGGCTCCAGCGACTCCGAGAGGTACTCCATGAACTCCTCCAGCCCCTCCATCTCCGGCAGGATGCAGCCCGGGTTGTAGCGCAGCTCGATGAAGTCCTGGAGGTTGTGATGGTCCAAGCCCGAGTCCCTCCACTCCCCAAAGTCGGGGCAGCTGATGGTCAGCCTGGCCTTGGCCGAGGGGTCCGCGGAGCTCAGGATCTCCCCTACCTGCGAGGGGACGGCGACAGCCAGAGCTTGAGGCGGGAGGGGGCACCCAGGGCCAGAGATGCTCAGCGCCCCCCTCCCTCGGCAGCAACAGGGCACCCCGTCCCCGG